CTGCGACACGTCCTTGGACTCCAGCTTGGACCGAAGCGGTGTAGAACGAAAGCCGGCTCCAGGAGGACACGAGCAGGGGGGCAGTTGGCAGTGCAGAAACGTAGGAAAAGTCAAGGTTTGGAGCTAGTTTCTAGTCGGTTCAGAAAGTGACGTTTGGCAGTCTGGGATACGGGCCGCGGGCCCCATCCGTCCTTCCCTGCCATGGTGTTTTAGCCCTGCGACACGGTCCTTGGACTCCAGCTTGGACCGAAGCGGTGCAGAACGAAAGCCGGCTCCAGGAGAACACGAGCAGGGTGGCAGTTGGCAGTGCAGAAACGCAGGAAAAGTCAAGGTTTGGAGCTAGTTTCTAGTCGGTTCAGAAAGTGACGTTTGGCAGTCTGGGATACGGGCCGCCACACATCCTTCCCTTCACGTGCATGGTGTGTTTTTTAGCCCTGTGCGACACTTCCCTTGGACTCCAGCTTAGAAGACCGACGCGGTGGCAGAACGCAAGCCGCTCCAAGGACGCACGAGCAGGGGCAGTTGGCCATTGTGCAGAACTCAGGTAAATCACGTTGGACGCATAACTAAGCCGGCTCCAGGAGGACACGAGCAGGGTGGCAGTTGGCAGTGCAGAAACGCAGGAAAAGTCAAGGTTTGGAGCTAGTTTCTAGTCGGTTCAGAAAGTGACGTTTGGCAGTCTGGGATACGGGCCGCAGGCCCAATCCGTCCTTCACTGCCATGGTGTTTTAGCCCTGCGACACGTCCTTGGACTCCAGCTTGGACCGAAGCGGTGTAGAACGAAAGCCGGCTCCAGGAGGACACGAGCAGGGTGGCAGTTGGCAGTGCAGAAACGCAGGAAAAGTCAAGGTTTGGAGCTAGTTTCTAGTCGGTTCAGAAAGTGACGTTTGGCAGTCTGGGATACGGGCCGCGGGCCCAATCCGTCCTTCACTGCCATGGTGTTTTAGCCCTGCGACACGGTCCTTGGACTCCAGCTTGGACCGAAGCGGTGCAGAACGAAAGCCGGCTCCAGGAGAACACGAGCAGGGTGGCAGTTGGCAGTGCAGAAACGCAGGAAAAGTCAAGGTTTGGAGCTAGTTTCTAGTCGGTTCAGAAAGTGACGTTTGGCAGTACTGGATACGGGCCGCGGGCCCAATCCGTCCTTCACTGCCATGGTGTTTTAGCCCTGCGACACGGTCCTTGGACTCCAGCTTGGACCGAAGCGGTGCGAAGCACGAAGGCCTCTCCAGGAGGACACGAGCAGGGTGGCAGTTGGCAGTGCAGAAACGCAGGAAAAGTCAAGGTTTGGAGCTAGTTTCTAGTCGGTTCAGAAAGTGACGTTTGGCAGTCTGGGATACGGGCCGCGGGCCCAATCCGTCCTTCACTGCATGGTGTTTTAGCCCTGCGACACGGTCCTTGGACTCCAGCTTAGACCGAAGCGGTGCAGAACGAAAGCCGGCGCCAGGAGGACACGAGCAGGGTGGCAGTTGGCAGTGCAGAAACGCAGGTAAAGTCAAGGTTTGGAGCTAGTTTCTAGCCGGTTCAGAAAGTAACGTTTGGCACTCTGGGCTACGGGCCGCAGAACGAAAGCCGGCTCCAGGAGGACACGAGCAGGGTGGCAGTTGGCAATGCAGAAACGCAGGAAAAGTCCAGGTTTGGAGCTAGTTTCTAGTCGGTTCAGAAAGTGACGTTTGGCAGTCTGGGATACGGGCCGCGGGCCCAATCCGTCCTTCACTGCCATGGTGTTTTAGCCCTGCGACACGGTCCTTGGACTCCAGCTTGGACCGAAGCGGTGCAGAACGAAAGCCGGCGCTAGGAGGACACGAGCAGGGTGGCAGTTGGCAGTGCAGAAACGCAGGTAAAGTCAAGGTTTGGAGCTAGTTTCTAGTCGGTTCAGAAAGTGACGTTTTGCAGTCTGGGATACGGGCCGCGGGCCCAATCCGTCCTTCACTGCCATGGTGTTTTAGCCCTGCGACACGGTCCTTGGACTCCAGCTTGGACCGAAGCGGTGCAGAACGAAAGCCGGCTCCAGGAGGACACGAGCAGGGTGGCAGTTGGCAGTGCAGAAACGCAGGAAAAGTCAAGGTTTGGAGCTAGTTTCTAGTCGGTTCAGAAAGTGACGTTTGGCAGTCTGGGATACGGGCCGCGGGCCTAATCCGTCCTTCACTGCCATGGTGTTTTAGCCCTGCGACACGGTCCTTGGACTCCAGCTTAGACCGAAGCGGTGCAGAACGAAAGCCGGCTCCAGGAGGACACGAGCAGGGTGGCAGTTGGCAGTGCAGAAATGCAGGTAAAGTCAAGGTTTGGAGCCGCAGAACGAAAGCCGGCTCCAGGAGGACACGAGCAGGGTGGCAGTTGGCAGTGCAGAAACGCAGGAAAAGTCAAGGTTTGGAATGGTTTGGAGCTAGTTTCTAGTCGGTTCAGAAAGTGACGTTTGGCAGTCTAGGATACGGGCCGCGGGCCCAATCCGTCCTTCACTGCCATGGTGTTTTAGCCCTGCGACACGGTCCTTGGACTCCAGCTTGGACCGAAGCTGTGCAGAACGAAAGCCGGCCCAGGAGGACACGAGCAGGGTGGCAGTTGGCAGTGCAGTGTCGTCTCGGGTCTCTTTAGGATGCCATTTCAAGTTTCATACTGCGGTTACGAACGGGGGCTTCGGGTATGGGTCTTAAGTGCTAGAGCAACCCTTTAGGTCCCCAAGACACCTGCCCAATGACGAAAGCTCCTATTTCTTGAGCCATGAAAAAGTGTCAGAGCACATAGTTGTGCGTGTCATCCTGCAGGGGTCCATGCTGCTTGCATGTGCACAGTGCCAAACGCACATACAAATGGTTTGTTTAGGTCAGTTTCTGGTTTCTTTAGGGTTCATTTCATGCTTACGACACAGAGGCAGGCATGACCCTCCAGTGTCCAGGGGTCGGCGGCAGAGGGCGTAGCCCTTTAATAAGACTCCAAACATTCCACATGGAACCACTACAAAATAGATCAAAATAGCCATATCCAAGAGTAAAATCATTTTCCAAAGATCATGTGGGATCCATGTTGATTCGGGGTGTGTTTAGGTATTGATCCATAGCCAGCATCAGACATCATGGCAACCAAGGTTGGCCCCACCTGTCGCACACGTGTCATCTGTCGTTCCAGTTGTGCACAACGATCCTGATGGATTGCTCATGGGATCCAGAAATGGTGAAATAACCCCCATAAGTTGGGCTATAAGCCGTATAACTACGGTTTTATATCCACAAAAATAACCGGTCCACTTCCACTAGCGATCTATGTATTTCTTTGCCCTTGAATCTCTGTTGGCATCCAAAACTCAGCTGATTGGAAGGGCGTCCAAACTCTACAGGTTTGCCCAGCCCACTTTCTGTCCTCAACAGGAGACACAAGGGGAGACTCTCTCCGTTCCAGAGCCGCCTACGACACGGATCCATCAAAACGCCTGATTTTTTCGTAAAGATTCAACGGCTGAATTTGGATTCTTTTCACAAGCCAGTGATCCAATTTGGGGAATCGACATTGAAGCAAAACCGCAACAGTCTATTTGCAAACGATTGCAAAGGTTTCAACTGAGGCGCAAGATACTTGCCAGGGCAGGAACGCAAAATTCCTTGTACAAAGTCAGCACGAAAAGTAACCAGGATCAAAACCAATCATTATATAGCTGCTTGAAGTAATTGCACAGCACGTGATTCAGCAGTTGCAAAAAAGACCTCCTGCTCACAGGTCACATGAGCAGTGCAAGAGTGTCAGTAGAATTGCTCGGTACAAGGTGTCGTTCATGTTCGGTCTGACTCACTGACATCAACGAAACACAGACTGCGCTCAAACGAGACAATGACATCATGAACCGCTTCTAGTTGGTTGGAAAAGCAATTTGTTAAAGGCTATTAGTTCGTTGCGTCTTTCAACTGAACATGCATTGTATTCACTTTCAATCTTGGCTAAAGCACCAAAAACGCCAAAGGAAATGGCTAACCTGCAAAATCCACACGGATGCGACCCTTCAGAGTTGTTTGCACTGCGTTGCAAAGAACTCTACCACTTCAAGCATGATGTTGAGCTGTTTGGCTCCAACTTGCTCGGCTAGCCATCTTTTTGGTCCTTGTTTCGTGCCGGTGCAATGTGTGCTATTATAACCACAATTCAGGAAAAAAAATAGAAACAGAATTGCGGGTTTGTCCCAAAATAAGGTACCCCAGAGTCCAAAAGTATCCAACAGCTTATCATCATGTTCTCCTGACCCTAGGGGTCTACCATGGTCTACCATGGTCTACAAGTCCATCATGTCCATCATGTCCATCCCATTCCCATTCGACAACCGTTGCAGCTGAACCTACTGATAGTCACCCACAGTTCGAAGCTCCTGGAGAATGTCAAGGATGGAGATCAAGGCCCTGAGCACCCCAAACTGGCACTTTATCGTCTCTTCCATGCAGCAAAGCAAGGTGATAGACCAGAGTCACCGACTGGGTTCATTGGGCTACCCTCTGGTAATCAAACGTGGCTGGGAAATCTCCGATCAATAGAGCTTTAAAAGATAAAATCATCCACATAAATGGGGAAATTTTCGTTGCCACGCTTGATTACCAGAATGTAATGCAAAGCTGGAAGAATCTTTTGCGACGAGACGCCACATCATGAATGAAGACTTTTGCCTCATTTTGCCTCTCTTGCATACGGGCGGGGGAAAGACTACCCGGAGAGACCCGGAGGGTGAATAGGTTCATTTCTGATCATGGACTGAGTCCGCACGTTGTGATGTACTGCGGCATGCAGTTCCAAGCTGCAAAACTGTTGGAAAAATGATCAGCGGCTACCGACAAAAAGAGCAGAGAAGCTCGAAAAGCATAAATGTAAAACCTGCAGGTGTACGATTGCTTGGCAGTACGATCGTTCACCTTGTTAAACAGGCAGAGCAAAGAGGCAGAGCACAGCACACTGGAAGCAAGTGGTCAAACTGCTGACAATGGCAATCTCGAATCTTTCAAGAAACAACACTTCAAGATCAATCTCTGCTTGCTCAAGCCACATGTCGCCACATGTCAAAAAGGCTAAACTTTAGCAGTGACAAAATCGGAAGTTCCAACCCTTTGGGAGCCAACAAAAGACCTGTGCATCAGAGATTTGCACAGCCTCAAGAGAAGTATCCTCGGGCAAGGGCAGGATCCTCGCATGCACGTTGGTGCCGGAAAAGCCGAAGCAATTGACGCCAGCAGCGTTGGCATCTGCCCTCAAAGCCTGGCAGTTTTCGGACAACATCAATGCTGGGGCCAATTCGATGGATAGATCCGGCCGCCAAAGGCCCGCACCATGAGGAAACATTGTGTGCTGCTGGACCACTTTCACCAGTTTGATGAAGCCTGCAAGTCCAGCCGCAGACTCCGTGTGATTGATGTTGCCCTTCAAGGCGCCAAGACACGTGAGTTGTGAACCAAAAATGTCACCCACCGACTTGACTTCGATGGGGTCACCAGTAGGTGTTCCAGTGCCATGGCATTCCATGGCGCCACAGCTGAGACCGTCCTGCCACACCTTGGCCATGCACGCTTTCTGTTGCTCCACTGATGGCTTGGTGATGGGCGATACGCTCCGGCCGTCGGAGTTCTGGAAAATGCCGGCCAGGAGCGCGTGTGGCTCAACCTGCGAGGCACCCATGGCCATCATGGGTCTCAATGCGACAGCAGCAACTCCCTCGCCACGGCCGTATCCATTGGCTTCTTTGTGGAAAGGTTTGCAACGATCACCTGACGTCACAAGGTCGCAACTGACACAGGCAACAAACTCATCTGACAAGTGCAGAAAAATGCTGGTGTTTTCACACCTCGCAAACTGCTCTACAAGATGTGCCATATGTGTTTTGGATTTTGTTCTGCCCTTTGTTTTAGAAACCGTCTTGAAGAACCAGGTCTCTCAGAAAAGTAGTGTAACTAGCGCCTTCAGCCAAAGCCATGCAAAAAGCGGCCGACTTTTCACAATGTTTCACCAAGTGTTGAAAGGTTTATATATAATAGAAAGTGCCACACGTGTCTCAAGCAGTGTTTTACAATGTTGTACTGGGGCTCCTGCGTGTCTGAAAAGCCGGACAGAGAGTTTTGAACCATCGTTTTGAACAAATGTGTATCTTCCGAAGAACTTTTCAGCTTGCTTGATGTAGTGGTTACGGGAGGGAGTAATGCAACATGCGCTGTGCAAAGTGGTCTAGTCTCTGTCAAACTGCTTCAAACATTTCATTCATGTTCATTTTGCAATGCGTATTGCCGTGTGTTCCATTCTAAGTCACACATCGACGCAGAAGGCAAAGCAAAAGGTTCAGCTAACACTAGAAACACTTCGCCATGAGATATGACTTGAAACAACTCAGAAGAAGCATGGCTGCATCTCTAAAGCAGCGTTCGATACCTGCGACATCGCACAATCTGTTGACAATTTCTTGGAAACCTCAGCGGCTGACTGATCATCTTTGCCTTCTCAAGTGCCATGGTTATCTTGGGGAGGCCAATCACATTCACACCTTGGTCATGCAGTAAGCTGTTGACAAAGCTTCAGTCTCTGGAAATAAACCTACAACATTCATCAATATTGGATTGTCTCCTACAGTTCCATTAAATGGCACATCAACGTTTTGAAAAAGGTCCGTTGCACTGCCATGCAATCACCAACATCAACTATCCAATGGCAAGCCATGGCACCGACCGATATGCCAGCTGCCCTGCCTTCCAGCAAGCATGAAGAAACAAACTTCGTAGCGGACAGCGCCGAAGCGCAGGCTGTGTCAATCGATACACTGTCTCCAGTCAGGTGCAGCATGTAGCTGATCTGCCCGTTGATCATGGAAGAGGCGTTACCCGCTGCGGTGTAGGTATTGCAAGATTTCTCATCCCACCTAGCAAGGAATGATCCAGAATAGGTGGACGTGGTGCTCATATTCAACAGAAGTTGGCAAAAGAGTACTTTGATATCTTTGCTGCAAAAAAGACTGGCCGCATTCACCCAACAGTCTCGACTCCTGGCAGTTTGATTTCAATGAACTGAGCCAAGGAGCATCAAGTTGCTGTCCAAATTCATGACACCAGCAGCCACAGCAACGTCAGTCAACTTCTCAGCATGAAAACCTGCTGCACTGTATACCTCCCAGGATGCTTCCAGTGCCAGGTTCTGCTGCGGGTCAGTGACCTTCTGTGCTGCGGGCTTGAGCTGGCTGAAAATCGGATCAATGTGAAAAGGCGACTCGGCCAACCAACCGCCCATGCTGGGCATGTCAGGGTAGTCCTTGACATCCCAACGATCCGCCGGCACCACAGTGATGCAATCTGTGTTCGCCTGCAGCACGGCTGCCATGTTGGAGATCTCCATGCCGGGCAAGCGACATGCCATGGCCACAATGGCAATCCTTTGGCTCCCGGGGGGCACAACGCCTGGGAGAGGTTGCTTGCTGCCAGCGATGTCAGCCATGTCCATGGAAAAGAGCTTGCAGCTGGTGGTCGCCGCCGTCGCAAGTGAACTTGAACTTCCGGTATGAAATGGCTGCCAGATATGTAACAACATGAAATCAGATCCACATCTATGATCCAAGACCCTTAGCAAAGAATCCATCTGCATATCAATGGAGCAAACGACCAACAGGGCAGCGCTTCAATTTCCAAATTCTTGAAGTGAAGTTAGAATGCAGGACTACAGCCAATCAGCAACGTCTCCAGTGCAAATTGAGCATGCAAAGTGTTCATTGCTCAAATGGAGCATTGGGTCATGCCGCGCCCGTGGATGGGCTGGGAATGTGGACCGGGCGACGGGTCCCAGCTTTGAACCTAAACTCAGGCTGCGCTCAACTCGAACAGTTGCAGCCTGCAGCCTATGATGATAGTGACTTGAGTGACTTGAAGAACGTGGGCAAACGATTTCGACACTGGGATGTGTGGAATGCCCGATTGAACCACTGGTTTCAATGACGTGTTTAGTCCGAAGCGTGCCACCACAATCGGTTCCAATGAAATGCATGAAACATTTGCAAAACTGCATGAAGCCCCCCACGGTCAGTCGTAGAATGATTTGCGATGCGAAAGCTTGACAACTTTGATGGACCTTTCTTTAGCAGAGGTCTGGTGGCAAAGCCACAGCATCCAATTTGGATGGCCAGCTAGGTCTCCAAGCCAGGTTGAGTGTCCCGTGGGACAATTGGGTGTGATATCACACCAAGTAAAAAGAGAAAAGGTGTATATATGTATGTACTTTCTATTGCATTCTAATATATACTTTCTACTGTATATGTTCAAAAACCGTATTTATGTAGGTGAGTTGTAGTTGTAGTTTAGTGATGCACTTTTGTTGCAGGGCACAAGTCACACCTTTGCCTCTTTTCCGCACGACTCAAGCAGTCGCACTGGTAGCTGTCGCCTCGGTATTCTCTGGGTCTCGCGTCACTTCGTGGATCCATCGGGGGCAGTCTCGACGCAGGATAAAATCTTGGGTCTTCTTGGTGGACCAACCATTGATCACCGCTAGACTCTTGAATACCCATCCATCATTGGCCTGCAAGAGTTGCAAAGATAAATGGCTTCGCCAACTGATGAATAGAGCCATCTCTTCAACGCTGGCGATTTGCATGTCGTCACCAAAAATAAATTCCTCAAGAACTCGGCCCTCAATCTCTTTGAGGTTCGTGATACCAGAGATGTTGTTAATGAAGGCCACAAACACCCTCCAGTCGGCAAACCTCCAGCTTGCAACGCCAACGGCCAAAATGGGCGAGACCGCAGAGACCTTCAAGGACAAAGAAATGACGGCCAGAATTCCATGAACTATGGCCTGAAAAAATTGCAGATGGCCGCTGCGTTGGTATATATCAATTGCCTTACTGATGTTCAAAGCACTAATACTACGAAGTAAGGAATAGTTTGCGATGCTGCTCATGTTGCCATGAAGATGGTGCAACATTTGGTCGCTATCCATGATGGAAGGAAGTGATTCAATAAGCCCTGCACGGAATCTCTGTCTCAAGAAGTGCATTAAGAAGGAGGTCTTTAGCAGCTGCCAAAGGAACTGCACGACAAAGACAGCTTCAATCAGATTCACAATTAGCTGTTGGGCTGATGGTAACTCTGCTGGCCACTCAAAAACCACTCCAGCCAAAGCATAGACTCCACGTGCCGCTGGTAGGACGGTATTGGCAATGTTGATGCCCATGCGAGCAAGGAGAAACACCAACAAACAGCAATCCTTTTTGCTTGGCCGTAGCAATGTCTGAAACGGTCCACGCTCTGAGAGACCACCACCCTTTCGCAAATGAACATGATCCAATAGTTTCTCTGGATGCTGGTCGACAGACGCCTGTGCACGATGGAAAGACCTGACAAACCGAACAGTCTGATTGGGGTTCCTCTTCTCCAGCAGGGAAACCGAGCCTTGTAAAAGCAACACAGCTGCAACCAAATACACAGCTCCCAGGAGCCCAAGACCAATGACTGGTGTCACCAACATCCAGACTCCAAAGATGGCAAGGACAGCAGCGAAGCAAAAAATCACAATACTAAAATAGCTGGAGGTGATGCATATCATTTGGTTGACGATTGCATGGACACTTCCATCAATTTTCGAAGCCTGGAACCAGCCAGCAGCGAACGCCAGAAATGTCCCTGCAGCGCCGGCAAGACAAATAGTCAAGAACGCCACAAAGGTCAGCAGCATCACGTCGTCGAAATTCCAAGACTTCTGCCCGCGCAAGCAACCTTTGTTAAAAGCAATCCAAAGACTGAAAGCCTCAACTGATAGGAGCAGCAACATGATCAGGATCATCACTCGACCGGGCTTGGCTGTAGCAGTTTGCAGCTCATCGTCCCATGTTCCATAGATCCACTTGACGATCAAAAGGGCAAGCCCTGCGGGTAGACTCATGATTCAGGACTCAAAAGGCGTAGGTCTGGGTGGTTGACCAACCCAAAATGATTCGGTATATGACGGGCTAGTCATCGAAAAAGTGGAGTGTGCAATTTCGGACTTATATCTAAATCCACCCATGAGTTTATTGCTCAAAATCCCCATCCATTGTCAAATCGTCATTTTCGAAAAAGCACCATTTTGACCCCCTGAGCAAAAAACTTGGGACGGTGCGATGTTCCGTTGGAACGAATCTGAGTTGCATCTGGTGACATGGAGCAGCTAAACCGAAGCTGCTTCATAAGCAGTAAAAAACTTCACAAGCTTCGTCTGGCCTGGAAAACTTTTTGATGTTCAAAAGCTCAACAAAACGGCTATGTCCAAGCCCTTGGGCACTAGGAAAACACCCAAATTGGTCAACTTTATTGGTCCTTAACCTTCCACTTTGGGACCTTTTTTTCGCGCCGCTGAAAAAAGAGAGTTCTCTCCTGCAGCAGTCGGAAGCGATCCACATCACCACCTTTGTCCGGATGCAATTCCAAAGCTCTTCGTTTGAAGGCTTTCTTAATCTCCGCCTCAGTCGAACAAACGGAAAATTGAACCTCAAACTGGATGGTTTTGTTAAAAAAAAAAGACTGAAAACTCAACCTGTCGGACTCAACTCGAAAAAATTGTCAGCCGGAAAAAAAAACTCCTGCCTGACTGGCAACACCTTCACCAGCCACACCCAGAAATGTCCAGGCCGCCCGCTTCTCCAAGGTCTTCAATCGACCAGTGGCCTTTTCCCTCCAGTCTTGAAGGGCAAGGACTTCCTTGCCGAAAAAATCGTCCAATTTGTGATCCATCTGTTCACCTGAAAAGTTTTGGAGATTCATCTGCCTTCAACAAATCCATCCACTCATCATTGACATTTTTTGAGAGTCACCTCGGAACAGAAACCCCAGAGAGAAAACTCTCCTATTGCAGTTCATCGTTCCCCAAGTTCTGCAAGCGTTTTTCCAGCGCTTCCGAATTGTGCCCGACAACAAAAGGTCATCAACCTCTGTGGGTCCAAGGGACCCAACCTGCCGTCATGGGCTTCATTGAAAAAAATAATTTTTTGAAAAAACGAAACTCATGACTCTCTAAAAACCTGAGGTTTTGCCAGCCATGTTTTCTCTCATCCCCTTTAGAAATGCATATATTATGTTAATATTACGTATAAAATATATTTAAAAGGTTCTGGAAGTCAAGAGACTTCAGTTCAAGATCCAAACGATCCATCAGTCCGCCAGAAGCACGCTGTGGATGGGAGGAATACTCCAAGCTTTCTTTGCCATCGATGCCCGACACTCTCCTGAGGAAGAACCTCCATTGAACTGAAGAAAAGAGATGTTTTTTGTTAAAACAATCAATGCGTAGAACATAAATCTCATGTTCTCAGGCATATGAAGATAAATGAAGGGTGTAAAGATGCCTGCTCAAATGACTCAAATGGTTCAAATCTACAGTGCTTCGATGTGCTTCTCATCACACATCCTATCTCCAAGGCTCCCCAGAAGCGGTAGCACGGCAGCGCCTGGCGAAGGACCGATCCCATGGCACCAGTGTTTCACTGTTAAAAATGGCGGAACCTGGGTGCTTTGGGGATGGGATGGGATGGCTATTGCTGACCTTTCAGCCGTCCAAAAATCTCTAGGGACTTTGTTCTCAAATCTTGGAGTGTCGCAGTCCATTTTCATGCAGAAAATGCTGCAGGCCATGTGTTCTGCTGGCGGTGGTCTTGACTTTGAACTGCCGCATCTGCAAAGTCGTGAAGAAAACAGCTGACAGACTGACAGAGCTGGAGGCATTCATTTTTCAATGCATGTAAGGCAATCATGGAGTTATCATGGAGTCAAAATAGGAAATTGGAACAACCTTGTAGATTCTGAAGATCTTCTGACTGGGAACCAGGGTAGATCTATCATTAGTGCACCTTTTTGCCCGGCCACACCTCGCCCAGAAGATACATCTCCTGCTGGACTTTCTCACGCAGCCGGCGCCTAAACAGTCTCAGGTTTGAGGCCACACTTGGCAACGAAAGCAGCCAGTTCATGGCCCCCAAAAGACAAAAAAATATGACATCTTCAGAAGCTGGGCAAAAAGGTTCTTAAAAATCGCTGAAAAGCTTTGGGTATCAGAAATCAGCTGTGAAAACATGCTGTTTCTCAACAAATCTGCAGTTTCGTCCACTGGGTGACCCTCACAGGGTTCGTTGCCGTGGGGCTCCAGTGAGTTGTGAAAGGGACTCCATAGACACCACTGAGAGACCACCCATGGCCTAGCCGCAAAACGCTAAAGAGGAACTTGTTGACTCTTAGAATTTCCCAAGTTGAGTAACTTGAGTTTTGAGTAACTTGTTGAGTCTGAAAAGTTATCATTGGGAAAAAAAAAACATGAGTTATGTTGGTTTTTCTCACCTCCAGGTAGGCTTGAATCCCACTGACCACATTGGAGTTGGACACCTGGGCGGTTTTTTTTTTCCGAGCCTGGAAAAATCGAACATGGAAAACTGGAAAATCCCGGATTGCGAGATGATTGTCCTACATGTTTCCTATATAAAATGGATTTAGAGATGATTGGATCCTATATTTTCGGACACACAATTTCTGGTGCAGTTTGGATGTTTTCAAAGCAATTCCGAATGGTTCGTGCACACTTTGGGGTGTGCATGTGCAATGCAAAAATACGACAAAAACAGTACATATCAAATAATATATATATATCCATCAACAAACTTTTGGTCATATTAGGATGCATGATTCAGGTTGAAATTTTGCCAAGTCTTGCGATGTTAACCCCACATCCCCGTTCTTCGCACCACTCCAAGCCACATCACGCAGGAGGACCAAGACTCTTCGACGTTGAGGACCAGTGACCTGACTAAAGTCATCATCCAACAGCGAGTTTCTGTATGATTGATATGATTGTCTGCTTCTTAGACCATTGATTTGATCAGAGCAGCAGACCAGAAGGTTCTCCTATATCAATGGCTATCACCTGTTCTCCGCACCTCTGTAAATTTGGCATCGCTCAAGATCTTCAGCCTGGTCTGACTTTGAGAGAAATGGAGCACTTTGAGAACACGGGCCCCAAAATTGTCATCTTCAGAAATCAGTTTCTGGCCAATCCTCTCCCACCTTTTTGAAAAGTCACCTTTTCAGCTTTCGGTCACATCCCTATTGCAGATCGGTTCAAAATCACCAAATCTCTTTGTCCAACAAGCCGGCTCTGCAAGGCCATCAGTTCAGCTTTGGCCGTGATCTTCTGCCTCCATTCAATGGAGCGAAAAACGAAAAAAACAAAATAGAGATAAAACAAACCAAGGTCCAGATCCAACGACTTTCATCCAAACAAGTTTTCAGATCATTCTTGGTTGGTTCAGGTTTCCGTTTGTTCGAAACAAGTTGAAACCCCCTGGATCTTCAAGTTGTTTAACCCTTCCCACAGGGTTGTCCACGGGAGTTTTTCACAATGTCCAATCTGAGCTCTCAAACGCTCCCGTATTGAAGTGCAAGTTGTTGAAGTGACCTCAAAGCATTCTTTTCATCTTCACACTTTTGTGATCTCCAAAAAAATCTTCCGCACTTTTCCGTACATGTGTAGAAATGATTTGCAAATGAAATGATTGGAAATTATTTGGCTCCCAAAAGTCAGACCTGGGTGCCAGGCAGACCCACCACTGGCCGTGACTCTTCGCGAGGCAGCCAAGCGTGCCCTTTTTGGGCATGGCCTTGGGCACCTCCTCTTCGGGCACCTAAAAGAAGCTGATGGGCTTTGTCCGAGAATGGGTGGTAACTGTAACTTGCCATAACTGAAAAATATGGACTTCTCTTTTTTTTTGAAACATCATCCTTAAACTGGATGAAAAATAATTAAGTTACCTCTGAGGCTCCTGCCAACAGCTTAGATGGATCGGGTCTCGTGGGTCGACTAAGCATCCTCTCGGAAAGTGACAGAAAGGTCAGGAATGATCGTATGAAGCTCCACTCATTAGCCATGAAACCTTGGGATAAAGCGGTTTGGCCAGGCTTTGCCAACAAAATATAATTCCCAACCCAAGAACGTTGACAAGGAGCGTGGGCGTTCAACTTTTTTCGGCTACAAAGTGTGGTTGATCTCTTGGGCAATTGTATCATCCTAGTTTTCACAATGGATGACCATGGTGCACAAGGAAATTCTTGTCAAGTTTTTTGACACTGGTGAAACAGTACTTTGTAAAACCACTAGTCTCATCAGGTTCACGAAATAGCTTCACCATCATAAACCATCTATAAAACCGGAATGGCTGGCGATTCAGCGTCTCCGATATAAATGTGAATTAACAACTAAAACTAAAACGCAACTTCCGCCATTGCTTCAGAGACTTCAGAAGCCGAAGACACACGGCCAAGGTCGAGCGCCTGACACAGGTGAAAGGTCTTGATAATATTACAAGTGTGAGTACAGTACCCTCTGGTAAACATAGAAAAAGCTATTGAAAATGGCCATTGATAGTGGATTCACCCATTAAAAATGGTGATTTTCCATAGTTACGTTAGTTTACCAGAGGGTATGAGGCGCAAGTAGATTCAATGGACATGCTTGTTTTGATTCGATTGGCTTTGTTTAGCTTCTGGATAGTCTCATCCGTTCTCTTTAAATGTAAGAGGATCATGAAGTATCTTTACCACCACTCCAATCCTTGCACATGCTGATGTTGCTCAATCTTCGTCGCTGACTGGATTCCCTCAAATAATGCATCGCAAGCATGAATCATGTCAGAGATAAGTGCCCTGATGTGACTAATCTGCACACTTTCCTGGGCCACCCTCCGGTAATCACACATGGCAATGGGAAAATCTCCTTATTTTTGTTGTAGTAGTACGGCTTGACATGGCCATTTAGGTATTTCCCAGCCATGTTGTGATGGTAGTCGAATCTGACATGACACAGTTGGGTGGCCTCAGGTTCTTCCACCAATTTATCTGCACATTCGGCACCAAATGTGGCCGGGTCAGCTCGATCTGGATCCACCAATTGATCGTCGCGCTCGTCACTTGAGGCCGCAGCAACGGAATCCTGCTGCGGCTTGAGATTGGAATTTGGGCAAGATATGGCAAGATATGGCAAGATATGGCAAGATATGGCAAGATATGGCAAGATATGGCAAGACTGCATCAAAACTCAAAAGCACCGAAAATGGATTCACCGGTCCCCTTGGTTTGGGAAACACGTGTCCTGATAACGGTGGCATCGCAACGCAATCTCCGCCACCTGCCTCTGCTGCAAACCTCCTGATGCCAGCGGTGTAAAAGGCAAAGCCAATACCGTGCGCAAGTTTCGAAGAACCTTGGGTTGAGCGCAAGGTTAGATAGGTTATGGTATAGTACTTAACAACAAAGCTGAAAACATGTGCATGTGCGTGTGGGGTCCTCTATATATGCAGACTACGCACACAACACTGCTTAGTACTCCAGCCCTTTGATGCAATAGGTATCAATAGATATCATAAGGTCCCGATCATAAACTTGGACCCCTGAGTTGAAATCTCGTAAACAATGTAACAAAGAGGGCCAAAAAAAAACGAATCTCTTCAAACTTTAAAGTCAAAGTCGGAGGAACTTGCTCTTCGTGAGCACCAGGACTGCCGCAGTTCTTCAGCAAGCCACCAATGCCTGGATAATCAAAATTGGCGTCGGCAATGACTGGCACCATTTCCAAGGTCCGCCGAGAAGCAGGACAAGCTGTGGAGGCGGAGAGCAGCAACTTGTTGAAGTCTTGATCCAGGAAGATTCCCCGAAAAAGCAGAACTAGCAGGTAGTAGGCGAATCGTTTGAAACTTGTCATCTGGTACATCCCATGCACAACAGCACACTCAACATTCAGCTCAACTTGCAGCAGGTGCTGAAAGACCTCGCAGGTCGATAGAAACTCAGCTTCCAGCAAGGAGCTCACGATAAGAATGCGAGGTCGTGAAAGATTCGATGGCCTCCCATGGGAAGACACGCCGCAAATATTCAGCAGCTTCACAACGGTATCCTCGCGGCTAGAAACCTGGAGAACAGCGCCAGGTAGTTTCAGCAAGTTTCATATTGACGTCATTCATGGTCATGGCAAACTATAACATACTGATGTAACATACTGTAACCATGTTTGTGATTGTTTGAACATGATAACGAGCTTTCATCAGCTGCCAAAACCACATCAAAATGCACATCAAATCCATGTCTCAACAAATTAAACTCGCACACTCTGTCTACAGCCTCTACAGCCTCTTCCTGAGCCCTGCACTGGACCAAATCGGGGCATCTGAAGAGAAGTCAGCTCATGCTGCAACCATCCGTATGCCGCATTCACATCATCCATTTCCACCCCATAACTTGCCAGCTGAACCTTCTGGTGAGGGGTCCAGAGTGTTGGGATTAGCTTTTGTGCCTCATCGGAGAGTGGTTCAAAACCATCACAGACCAACGGTAGAGTGGCGATCCCATTCTTCCAGGCAGTCACAATTTCTCCGGCACACCAGCTTCTGGACAATAGTTCTGGGGTCAGCACAACCACCAGATTTTTGGTTGACGTTCGTACGATGTCAAACAGCATGTCCAAGTTTTCCAACTCATCACTATCCAAAAACACTCGAGTTGATGAGTGCTGACTAATCAGGATCTTCAGCAGGCGGCTCAGGCTGCCCCCACCGGCCTTGTGATGGCATAGGAAGATACCATAAAGCTTTGTATTCCGCTGAATATGCTTTAGGGCCAACTTTGACAAATCCAACTAAAGCCACAAGCAACATGGAAAGAACTGGTATGCAAAGAAGCCAGCCAAGCACTGTGGCGGACTGTGTCTTGTCCGTCAGTAGCAAGGGCCCAGCGCTCAGTAAAATTACCAGAAGAAGGTCGGTCAAAAGAACATCCACCAGATTGGCCAAGCCTGTGCGCCACGGAGCTGTGTGGATCTGAAGATTCTGGACGGCAATCAAAATCATGCCCATGAGTGGCACTTGAACTTCCGGAATACCAACCAGAACAGTAGGCATCAGAGCAACCAAAGCATTACGATAGAGCAGCACCAAGCCGTAGTAGTACGCATCAGGCTTAAATCGGTGGAGCAGGAAGCGATATCGAGTTGCGAAGCGCTGCCCCTTCCCACTGGCTACTTGCGATGGATAGCTGCAAATGACATAGGTTGCCAACCCAAGGACGGCCACAGGCTGAGTCACTATTCCTCGTCTCAACTTCACCGACCAAAATTTACCCAAAAGGGTCCCCTTTGGCCCCACAAAGACTACACCTAAAACAATTTCAACCTTGCAGCCAGAATTCCTGCAACTGCAAGCCACACGAAAAGTGCATGATCTTTGGACTCAAAACAAATAATGCCCGGGTGCAGCAACATTGAGCTACTTCCATTTGGGCTGGTCACACACTGAAAAGGAATCAGTGTGCTGCGGGTGATGGACAGGAAGAAAGCGAAGATCAACAATCCACACTGGTTCATGACAGTGTTGAATGGTTTGCGCCGCCCGAGCATCTTGTTCAGCACCCAACTGCATATTAGAAGAATGCAAGCAATGGGACATGTGAGCAGGCGACTGACAAAATACAGCACGGGACTGTCTGTTCCAAAGAAGCAAGAAGTTCGGACGAAATGGAAGTCGAACATCATGATCTTGGTGAGGTCGATCAATGTCCTTACTGGCTGCTGCCATTGGATTGAGAGTTCCCGGATGGAACCCAATGCCTGCATAGCCATGATGAGCTGGCCGGTGACTGAAGCCGCCGTCACCGTGTTCAAACCTTGAAACTCGGTCCGAGGTGAACTGCACTTTGCAAAGTGTATGAGCATTGACTCATGATAACTCCTTAACATAGCTTACGTTGGCAAACAATACCGATGCACGTTGCACGTTTCCGGGATGCGGAATTGCTAAATTGTCTATCAAATTCTTGGGTTTCTCAATCAGCAAAGGAAACTTAAAAGTCTATGTTTCCATGTAACGGATATTCAAAAAACCACAACCACCACTATCACAACCAACATCATTTCAACCACCACTGAAACAACCACCACCACCACCACCACCACCACCACTATCACAACCACCACTATCACAATCACCACTATCACAACCACCATTGTCACAACCACGACCATCACAACCACCACCACCACAACCACCGCCATCACAACCACCACCATCACAACCACCACTATCACAACCACCATCATCACAAACCATTGTCACAACCACCATTGTCACAACCACGACCATCACAACCACCACCATCACAACCACCGCCATCACAACCACCACCATCACAACCACCACTATCACAACCACCATCATCACAAACCATTGTCACAACCACCATTGTCACAACCACGACCATCATAACCACCACCACCACAACCACCGCCATCACAACCACCACCATCACAACCACCACTATCACAACCACCATCATCACAAACCATTGTCACAACCACCATTGTCACAACCACGACCATCACAACCACCACCACCACAACCACCGCCATCACAACCACCACCATCACAACCACCACTATCACAACCACCATCATCACAAACCATTGTCACAACCACCATTAAGCACCATAATCCACAACCACCACATCAAACATCATATCACAACCACCATTGTCACAAACCACACCACCAAATCCCATGTACATCACAACCACCACCACTCATTCCCAACCACCACGACCGTACATTCACACCACCACCATCTCACACAACCAACCGCACCACTTCATAACCACCACAACACACCGCCATCACCAACCATCACAACACCACATCACAACCACCACTATCACAACCACCATCATCACAAACCATTGTCACAACCACCATTGTCACAACCACGACCATCACAACCACCACCACCACAACCACCGCCATCACAACCACCACCATCACAACCACCACTATCACAACCACCATCATCACAAACCATTGTCACAACCACCACTATCACAACCACCATCATCACAAACCATTGTCACAACCACCATTGTCACAACCACGACCATCACAACCACCACCACCACAACCACCGCCATCACAACCACCACCATCACAACCACCACTATCACAACCACCATCATCACAAACCATTGTCACAACCACCACTATCACAACCACCATCATCACAAACCATTGTCACAACCACCATTGTCACAACCACGACCATCACAACCACCACCACCACAACCACCGCCATCACAACCACCACCATCACAACCACCACTATCACAACCACCATCATCACAAACCATTGTCACAACCACCATTGTCACAACCACGACCATCACAACCACCACCACCACAACCACCACCACCACAACCACCGCCATCACAACCACCACCATCACAACCACCACTATCACAACCACCATCATCACAAACCATTGTCACAACCACCTCTATCCCTACCATGATTATCACAATCACCACTCAACCACCACTTTCACAGCCACCGCAGATGATCTTAGGGGTGAGATGATCTCAGAATGAGTGAAATTGAGAGTGAGATGATCTGGGGGTGAGTTAAGACGAGAGTGAGTTGAGCTGAGGGTGAGATGATCTGAGAGTGAGTTGAGATGAGAGTGACTTGAGACGAGAATGACAATATCTCATCGTGATTTGCGATGAGCATGAGATAGCGCATGAAAGCTGCGTTTTGACATCTTCAACTTTCACTTTTTGATTGGGGGGAGTCTCGCACGAAAACTTCGTTTTCACATCTTCAACTTTCAGTTTTTGAAGGAAGCCCCGCACGAAAGCCTTGTTTTCAGGACTTCAACTTTCAGTTTTTGAGGGAAGTCTTGCACGAAGGATTCCTTTTCACATCTACAACTTTCTGTTTTGAGGAACGTCTCACAGGAAAGGTTCGTTTTCAGAACTTCAACTTTCTGTTTTTAAGGGAGGCCTCCCACGAAAGCCTTGTTTTCACATCTTCAACTTTCAGTTTTTAAGGGAAGTCTCGCATAAAGCGTTTTTTTGAAAGATAGCGGTTTCATTTTTGAAGGGAGGTCTCGCACAAAAGCATCGTTTTGCCAACTTCAACTTTCAGTTTTTGAAGGATGTCTGGCAGGAAAGCTTCGTATTCACATCTGCAACTTTCTGTTTTTTGAAGGAAGCCTCGTGCGACAGCTTCGTGTTCAGAACTTCAAGTTTCAGTTTTGAAGGGAAGTCTCCCACGAGATGCGTTTTTGAGAGAAAGCGGATGCGCAAAATGCTGCGTTTTGCAACGCAAAACATGCCTCAGAAGATAGATGGGAAAGGTCTGCCATGTGACGGGTACGGAACACGTCTGGCTATAGGGCGGATCATTCTCGGATCAGCCCCGCATTGGAACTGACGGTTCAGACGTTGTTTTGCCAACTTGAGATTGTGAGTTTGTGATGGACGTCTCGCACGAAAGCTTCGTTTTCATTACTTCAACCTTCACTTTTGAAGGGAGGTCTCGCACGAAAGCTTCGTTTTAACAACTTCACCTTTCAGTTGTCGAGGGAAGCCCCGCTCGTCTTCACAAATTCACCTCTCGGTTTCCGAGGGACGTCTCGCACGAAAGCTCCGTTTCACATCTTTAACTATCAGTTTTTGAGGAAAGCCCGAACGAAAGCTTAGTTTTTACATCTTCAACTTTGACTTTTTGAGGAAAGTCTCGCACGAAAGATTCGTTTTTGCAAGTTGAAGTTGCAGTTCAATTGCTGATGTTTCTCGTTTTTGGCGCCTTTCATTTTCCTTTTAAAATTCCGTTTAAAGGCTTCAAAATCGTACTTTTCTCGGCTTTGGCGCGGAGAAATAGTTTTGGAGCAGATCTTGGCCAGGAGAAGCTTCTGTCTTGCCAACGTAATTCTATTTTTTGGCTTCTGCACTCTGGTGCTTGCAGGCTGCATTGGGGTGACTGCATCAACGTTGCTCCACGTTGCTGTTGCGCATGTAGTTTCATTGTCTTTTACACCTCGCTGCTTGCAAAAAAATCGCATTGGAGTGTCTGCGTCATTGTTGCTCTATCTTGCTGCTGCGCACGTGGTACCTTTGTCTTTTGCTGCTTGCAAATCGCATTTTGGAATGGTTGCGCCAAAGTTGTGCCGATGAGCTATTGATGATGTTTCTCGTTTTTTGCGCTTTCCATTTTCCTTCTGAATTTCCTGTTGAATTCAAAATCAAACTTTTTGTGGCTTTGGCTGGCGCCAGGATCTGGTTTTGGAGCAGGCTCTGGGCCAGTGAGCTGAGAAGAGGTGAGATGAGGTGAGAAGAGCTGAGATCAGCTGAGAAGATGGAAGAGCTGAGGAAGAGTAGAGATGTGAAGAGAGGAAAGAAGAGATGATACGACATGAGATGAGCTAGAAGAGGTGAGACAAGCTGAGATGAGATGGCATGAGTTAAGACGACCTGACATGAGCAGAGCGGCGAAGCGCTGAGAAGAGCTGAGCTGAGACAAGCACGTAGAATGGAGAAGCTGAGGAGAGCTGAAAAGAGAAGAATTCAGATGAGCTGAGAAGATGAGGAAACCCAGATGACATGAGAAGAGATGAGAACAGCTGCGATCAGCTGAGAAGAGCCGAGATAAGGAGAGAAGACATGAGATGAGATAAGATGACATGAGATGAGATAAGCTAAGATGAGAAAAGATCCAACCTTGAAAAGAGACGGCGCCGGAATGAAAGGTCAAGAGATTGTTGCTCACAGAAGGCTTGGCCACACCCAATAGGCACAGTCTTCGCTCCGCTCTATAGGCTATAAGCGTTTCAATTTTGAAACTTCCGGGTACTACTTGTAGTTTGGTTTGAAAGAAACTGGTTCAACGGAAGTTGGAGGGACGATGTAAACAAACAGAAGATAACATGTCAAGACATGTTGTGATCTCTTTGAGGCTTCATTGGGGCCATTGCAACATGTCGTCAGCTCCATCTGTGACCAGCTCTGTGCAACCTGGACGCTCACCTGGCTCGGGTCCCAGCGTGAAACACTGATGAAGAACAAGACACAAAGGAGGAACAGGATGAGCAAAATGACCGGCAGCGTGTCGCCCTCCCGGCACTGCTCACATACTGAGCCTTGGGGATAATGGCTGGCCTGGCAATTGTTACAAGCTAGCCCCTCTCTCCCGACGGAACATCTTCCCAACATTCCGGGAGGGCACTCAAACTGATCTCGGCAGCGCAAGACAGAGAAGTCGCATTGGGAAACGTTTGGGTCCGCCCAGAAACCACCCTGCTGTTCAGGAGGACCCAAACCTTCAGGGCAATACAGCCCGCTGGGACACGGTATGCAACCTCGCTCCCCGCACATGAAGGAATGCTCCGGACAGCGGCAGTCAGTCTCGCTTGTGGAACCAATCTGTGGAGTCATCTGCATCTTTCCACAAGGCAAACATTGAGAGCTCCCAGCTGATGGCATGTAGAAACCTGAGCTGCACCTGGTGCATGTCTCCATACCTTCCTGCGGCCCCTCAGTGCCAGGCGGGCAAGGAATGCATTCCAGTGAGCCTGCGTCCAGGGCAAAGCTACCTCTAGGACAGGGAGTACAATTCATCATTCCAATGTCAGGAGCAAACGCACCTCTCGGACAGGACGTAGGCAAAGGAGTAGACCCCCCGACGCAGAACATGCCCCTTGGACATTTCTTGCATTGTCTGGACTCCCCTTCCTGGTAGAAACCGGGGTCACACGCATGCAGTTCTGGAGGGGGCAGCATCCCCACTGAACCATCCGTC